CAATAATATTAGACAACAAGTCACAAATGACATCATCAAGAAATATCCAAAATTTGATTCCTTTAATAACACAGAGAAAACAATATTTCTATTTAACAACGCTGACACTTTTATTTGTAAAAAACTAGGTTACTTTACATATGAAGCACTACAAATAAGAGAACTTTGTAACCCTAGAACTTAAAATAAAGAATCTTGTAACTAACTATGTTTATTTTTCTTTCCGGTTGCTGTTGTAATTTGTTTCGTTTTTGAATTTTTATTTAACGATTATGTATTTAGGTAACACCATTTATATGGGAATACCAATAAACATGAAACGAGAAACGTGACCTTCGCCTTGCAGTATCTTGAATTCCAGAATGCTTCCACGTCTTATCAGATGCGTTGTGGTTTTAAGTTAATAATAAGAGGGACATTGCCCGAGAAATTTGTCAAGAATCAAGCTTAACCTTTAACAACGGTCTTAAGCTTTTCTCGTATCAAAGGATTAACGTATTAGTACAGAATTTCCCTCTATCACCAGACCCTGGGAAATTGTGATTTATTGCGAGTCCTGTTTTCCCGACAGCCATCTATCACCAGCCATTTAGTCAGTTTATTTTAAGGTATTTACCCCTGTGATTTGCAAGATTAAATTGTTTTCATTCCCAAATGCGTGCCGACAGAGGCGGCTAGAGTGCGACAGTCTTGGAATCTCGCCGAGCTACATCTGCCATCACCTACTTGTACAAAGGCAGAATCCATGGTCTTAATTCTGTTTCAGTTTAAATAGAGGACAACACAAAACTCCCTTCAAATATACTGACGGCCCCATTTGCGTGAAAATCTTACAAAGAGCAATGTTAAAATGATTTTTAAAAAACAAAAAGATGGTGAGGCCCGCATTCCCGAGACTCTCACTGGATTCGGGTGCAGTTCAAGGTGTTGTATACAACACGTTATCGATTCCTAGGCAATTACACCGCAACAATATGTATGACTACACTTACCAATTTATTCATTAAGAATGATTAATTACTTAAAGCCTTGGAGTGTTGTATGTCCGTCTGACTCAAATCGCAGGAAGTCTCTCCTTTCCTTTATTATTTTCACACATCGTCCACAAACTTCCGCTTTTCTTTCAATCTCGTTCATTGTGTTTAAACACTTGGTTTTAGTGTTTTTACTCAGGTCCTGATTGCTTTTAAAGAATATTTGCCAATAAAACAAAAACCTTCATTTAGACCATCAAGAAAGCCGATTTCGGCCAAAAATGGGCCCCCTTGGACCCCTCAGCCATAATCTGCTCCTGATCATCACACTACACAGAATTGAGGCTGACCTTCTAGCGTTGCTTAATCTTTATCTTTTCTCGAACACCGGCAAAGCCACCTTTTCCATCAGTACGAATCCGTAGAGATTTTCTCTGTTGACACTGCCATAACAATTTATCGTGCATGTTGAACGCTGAGTAAACACGCAGAAATGTTTGCTGTAGCCAGAAGCACGAATGCACGAGTCGCCAATGTCAGGTGATTGGGTCACTGATAACAAACACGACTAATTTCGATGTATGCTAGGAGTGGAAGACCATGCAAGAGTAGGAAAATTGGCCTGTGATTCTTTCGTAAAACCTCTACTGCAATGTTCCTTAACTCCGTGAATCAGTTCGCTGAAGTTTCTGTGAGCTGTGTAAATTACTAATGGGGGTAAACTGAAACAGTATTTTTGCTCCTATGGTTTGTTAGTTTTATCTACGTGTTGTATCTTTTTCTGGCGCCAACTGGGCAAACAAAGGAACGTTCAGTCTTGTGATAAACACCGATTAGTGGAAGGTCACGAAATTGGCAGATTTTCTTTGAAACAGCAATCGTTTCATTAATGTTGTTTTTTGCCGTTCATTTCTCTGATTTTCAACAATAATTCTCATAGTATGCTGAACCGCTGTCGCAAAAGAGAACTTGAAACGTCAACACTTGCATACTGCATCACTGAGAGACACGTGCAACTGAGCTCTCGGCTCAAACAAATTGGAAATGAAGCTCTTCACCCCTTGTTATCTTGTTTACATAAACGTTGAATTTGAAGCCTCCTCGTCACTTGGAGTAAAGTTAACAAGATCATTGGTAAAATTATTACTCCTAAAATATGGATACAACCACGTTGGCAACCTACATGTTATACGCCTGTGTTATCTTGGAAGAGAAAATAAAGTATACCACACAACAGTCAGGTCATACCATGCGGCCAATGTTGCGCACGTCAGTTCAATTTGAGTGCGCTTTGCTCGTTTAAAGTTATAGATGCGCAATAGGCTGCTTATAGTCATTTATCCAATTGATTATTCTACCTCAGTAATTCTTGTAACGTCACTCGAAACGAGAAAACAGTTTATTTTTGTTATCAACTTCGTTGCGTTTAAGAAGCCCTTAATCAGTGAAGCAATCGGCGTAACTAAAATCCATCAGCACAAGAGAAGAGCGATCCTCGTTTGAAAAGAAGTCTTTTGTGAAGTATTAGGCTCGACAATATATCGTTTCAGTTAAGCTATTAGCTGAGGTAGAATAGCTTAAAACGTATCCCAAGGGTCATTTCAAAAATGAACGCTACGTTTGGTAATGAGTGGCTAATGTACTAGTAGAGGGCAAATGTCCTCCTTTCGCGTCGGAGAACTTTTAGCATCGAAGCTCCGTCGCTAACTAAAACTACATTAGTCCTAGTTCAAGTGGACTTACCAGCCAACTTCACAGCTAATGATAGGGCGTAGTTGGATCTTGAGGGTTGGGTTTCTGTCGCCTCTTCAACGCTCAAGGTAGAACCTTTCTTCAGAATACTTTCTATAGAAAATGGATTGGCTTCCATGGACGGTGCTTCTACCTTTCTATGCAAATAACGAGAGCTTCTTTGTTGATAAGACTGAGAGTGTAACTCACTGTCAAACTGTAACAGTCAATTCACACCAGTGTATACTAGTGGTGATCGTGTGAGCTTACCAGCTGTTAATGTAATTACACCGACTGACTTGACATTGATAAATGTACCCGGAAACCGTTCAATAAAGGCCAACAGAATTGCTAGTCGGGTCCTTTTTTATCATGCGTGGAAGACACCGTGTGTGGTTGTGCTTTCCAAACTAAAATCATAACAAGTTTTCCCAGGTATCTAGTGTTAAGGTAGATTTGAAGAACTGTTTTATTAACCTGAATTTCTTTCATCTTAGCTAAGCTGAATTTATAGTATACTAATTCAATTACGTGGGCAATTAAACACCTTAGGTTTTCTTATATTCCAAGTTCTGGTCACACAGGGGTACGAAGTAGATCCACGAAAGAAGCTTCCAAGTGACGTAGCGAGACATCTGCGAAGGACGTCATTGAAACGGGCATTCAAAAGTTTCGTTTGGACCCACTCCATGCCCTTCCAAAATGCTCAACCCAGCGCTAGTTTATCTTAAGTTCTGATCAGTGGGCATATCTTTCAGCCAAAAATAAATTTTTCAAGGATTTACGAGTCACAAGATTAGAAGTTTAGAACAGAATAATCACCTTGTGCTACAATGAAGTATTACGACGTTTTATATTTCCGACAACCATCTATCAGCAGTCATTAAGATAGTATATTTTAGGTATTTACCCCTTTTTGCTGATTAAATCGTCCCCATTCCTAAGTGCGTATCGATCCACCCTTTCAGTTGTTGTGGTGTTCTGGCTAAGAAGTCAGTATTCGTTCGGTTTAGTTTTGTTTCGGCCGAATATTCTTATACTCGACTTATCTATTCAGCTCCTTTTGATTCAGCCCGTAGCTCGAAGAATCAAAATACTACATGCAATCTCTTTTCGCTTGTTCGGAGAATATTTGGTGACAATTTTGCTTGACTATGCATCGTTACTGTGATGAAGGTCCTGGAAGCCTTGTTGATAACATGCACCTAGGTATGTTCGATATCGAGTTATTTCGGTCAAAGTGGTCAAGTCCCGGGGGGGGGAGTACTGTCATATATGGGCTATATAGGTATGTGCCGCTGTGATGGGTATGGTTTTCAAGCAGTTTACTCTAGGATAGGGTATATAAATCAGAGCATTTGAATCTAGAATAGGGTATCATTTTTCACGAAACTGAGCAGTTGGTTGACGAGTTTATCTAGACTATGGAAACCAGGAATTGCCACTCAAAAATATAAAAAAATCAAATCGGTAAGTTTAAATTTACGCAAATAAGCCTCCACGGTGTCGATAGATGGAGGGATTTGGGGAGTTTACTCTAGTATAGGGTAGCAAAATTCAGTTGAACTACAATCTTGGACAAAATAAATGGAACATCTGGACCACCCCTCCCCCCATTTCAATGATGCCAAAATGGCGCGCTTTTGCTCCTTCGCGCCTTCATCATTGCTTTGGGGAGGATAGGGGATAATTGTTCCATTTTATTCTGTCCAAGATTGAATCTTGGACAAACTAAATGGAACATCTGGACCACCCCTGCCCCCATTTCAATGATGCCAAAATGGCACGTTTTTGCTCCTTCGTGCCTTCATCATTGCTTTGGGGAGGATAGGGGATAATTGTTCCATTTTATTCTGTCCAAGATTGCAATCTTGGGCAAAATAAATGGAACATCTGGACCACCCCTCCCCCCATTTAATGATGCCAAAATGGCGCGCTTTTGCTCCTTCGCGCCTTCATCATTGCTTTGGGGGGGATGGGGGATAATTGTTCCATTTTATTCTGTCCAAGATTGTAGCTCTGATTTAGGCTAAGGGTTCCAGGGTCCCAGCGGCACATCCATACCCAGAAATTCCCAAAATACCCTCCCCCCCCCCCCGGNCCCCCCCCCCCCCCGGGGGTCAAGTACCATATCCAAACGTGAATTCATGCGATGAAAGTCTTTAACCGACTTTTTGTGGTCACTATGATTGAGTGTAAGATAATTTTGCGACTGATTACATGCCACAATTATCATCAAAAGAATGCAAGCCTGATAGTCTATGTTCGCTTGACGAGGTCGGGTATAATCTACGTTCCAGCGACATTTCCGACATTTTGATCCAAAAAGTGACTGATGGGAAATCAGAGATTACTAACAGAGAGTCCTTTGTTTTTGTATTCCGAACAAACTTGTTATCTTGAGTTGTTTGTAAAAGCTTGTAGCTCATGCCCTCTTTATCTCTTTATTTCGTTATTTACTTAAATTCTGTCTTTGCGTGCAGTAGTCTTGCTGTCTCGTTTTCCATCATAGTTTTGTCTCTGGTTCATTCAGACACTGACCGTGACTGGATTAATGCATTAAGACGATTAAAACCACGGTCATAATCGCCGATTAACCCTAATCGGCTTCCGAGCAACTGGGAAATAAAGATAATTAATTATTTAGTTTAGAAATAAATTGGGATCTCATTTTAGCGTACGTCAAAGACTTCCATGCCTGCTTAACACAGAAAAATTAAATTTACCTTATAGTTGCCTGCGAATTACAATTGACCCAAAACAAGAACTGGAAGAACTTATTCATATACCTGGTTAATTTCCCTTGTCCCATGTTCTGTACAAGGCTTAGAACAGTCCATCATTTTCTTATGGTCCATATGGTTTGACTTGTCGCAAACACGCGAAGCATCGTTATGTTTCGAATTTGTCCCGCTGTCTTGTCTTCAGAAAGACGTCCATCTGTGAGATAAATACTCGCAGGGATGATAACTCGGCTGAATGTCAAAGAGAGTAGAGGCGGTGCGGCCTAGTGGTCAGGGGGCTGGATTTGTAATCCGAAAGTTCCGAGTTCAAATCCTCCTCCATGCCACTAGATGGATTTGTGTTTGGTGGTCTCAGATTCAACTCCTCCACGCTTTGTAAATAGCCAACTGGTCAGTCTCCCGCCAGTTGGGATTTTGAACAAGTTTCTGTTTAAATTACAATATTTGTTTGCTTAATTTCAGTGTCCATGATTAGTACAGCAGTACTAAACACTTCGACACTCAAATAAAGTTAGAATGTGGAACCAAATCCTTCTGCCGGTGAACGATATTCATGAGTCCTGACAGAGGAAGACAGGGAAACCAAAGTCAGAGAGAAAGGTAGCTTACAGCTCTTATACATCGAAGGAAAACATTACATTCCAATACATTGCCTACTATACACTGTAATACGACACTACGACCCCCCCCCCCCCCCCCCCCCCCCCCCCCCCCCCCCCC